GTGGCTGAACGAAACACTGTTTTGTTACTGGTTTTGCACGCCTCTGTAAAAACCACAGCAAGAATGTGAGTGTGGTCTCTGTTAAAGGCACACATAAAGGTAGATAGAGTCCCTTTGCTTGAAATCTTAATTTCAAAATCTGTCTTCAAAATGGTAGCAGTGAATTTTGGCGCAGGGTTGGTGGAATGTTCATGTAAAGGAGTCAACACGTGTGGGAATGTATGGGAATCTTTATATTCTGGTCACATCCTTGGTGAGCATGCAAAGTGTTAGTTGAAATTGCCAGTGAGTGCAGTTTGGCTGTGATTTGGTAGCGCATTCTGTGCCCATCAGTTCATGCTGAGGGGCAGAATCTACAGGAGTATCTGCACAAGCTCTTTTAAGACCAGAAAAAGACCTATTAACCTTGATATAGTAAGAGACCATTGTCTGCTATTTAGTAAGCCTTACCTAAGTATTATCAGTGTGAGCTGCATCTGTAGAGATCTGTTTTCATGCAGCTGTGGCTTTTGAGAGTTATCATGCAAATGATCTGACGTCATGACACTCATTTCTTTGTGTGCATTGCAGTAAATGAGCTCTGCTGAGATGGTGACTGTCAAATGTAACCTGTAACCATGATGCTGAAATGGAAGTTCCAAGAAAACAAAGAGGCAGAGGCAAATAAAGGGAAAATAAATGGAAGGGGTGTAATTCTGACAGTTTTTCCTAACCTGTTCTGCCAGAAGGCTTCCAAACCTTGTGGAGTTCTGCACAGATATGATTTCTTTCCACTGAACCCTTGAAAGAATCTTTTTAAATAGGTCAAACACAGTTTCCTTGCTTTAAAGTTCTGTATCTCTCGCTATTATGAAACTGTGAGCAACCTTGACAACAGAGAAGGGAGCAGAGCTCCTGAAAATCTGCAGTCAGGAGGGGGTATTTGTGCATATGGTTCTGTTGGCTTTCAGTATTTAGTGTGTTTTCAAATTGTAGGGGAAGGGAATAAACCCAGAAAATTTGGAATGAAATCTACTTTTATACAGTAATAGTCTTTTACTTGGACAGCTACAAGTATCATTTTTCTTGCTATTATTGCAAGCTGATATTTTCTCTTTGAAGCTCATCATGAAGCACATGTTTTTTTCCCCTTCTTTTCTCTGTTTATTCTTATTGTTTTGTTTAGTATTTGCTGAAATTCTTGTTATAAACAAGAAAAAGAAATACTTTGCTTCTGCATGACCCTCAAGTCATGGAAGGCAGTTTTGGTGGCTGTCATTTGATTCTGTCACTTAAGGAAGTAGAATGGTACCTTCATCAAGGTTACTCCACTTTAGTTCCACATTTAGTTTCAGAAGTAAATATGCATTGATCTTCACGTATCAGTTTTCCTTTATTTGGGCCAAAGTTTGTTGATTATCTAAATGAAATGACTTTGTGACTTAAGACTTAAGTATGTTCGCAATGCAACTGTGATTTGGCAAAATTAAAACTGTTACTTCTGTGTTGGATGAAACCGTATAGTGGATGCTGTCTTTTATCTTACATGGTTTTGTTGCTAGTCAGGATGGAAAGTAAAACAGCAGCTCTGACACGATCAAGGATTAGAAAATGGAAAAGTCATTGTTCCCATGAGAGATGTAACATGCATTTGTCATTGGTAGTAACTTCCCATTTGGATGTTCTGAGCACGCATGAAAAGTGGCTTTTTACTGCACAATTTACTCTGATTTTGCAGTTAGTGTCAGGATCCTTTCTGCCCTAAGCTCATGCCAAACTTATGTTTCAGTTCTTAGCTTTGAATATCATCCTGTACGTGACTTCAAAATGAAAGGGATGCTGTATTTCAGAGCTGGGCTGCCTTTGGCAAATATGTTCCAAAGCCAGGTTTCTGGTGTCCATAGCAACGTGTGGGTGAGGGAGGAGAGGCTGGACCTAAACGGGGACAGACATGCAAGTAGGGATTTGGAATCTGCTAAGTGAGAAAAGAGCTTGAGGTTGAAGAAAGTAGAGAGAGGCAAGAAGAGAGATGAGAGACAGCAGTGGGCTGATTAAAGAGGGTGAAGCAGAGATTGTAGATGGGAAATGGGTTGATGCATTTATGCCTAATAGAGCATGCTAGTTGTTCAAGACCTGAAATAACACCCTGAAACTGTAACAAAATGTTGGTGAAAATTACAGTCAGTTTCCCCATTTCCCTTTGTGCGATGGTACATGAAGCAGGTAATAGTGTTTCTCTGCTATTGTTTCTTCCATTAGCTCATGGAAAACATTTGTGCATTTCTCATTTTGTATCCTTAAGTATATATATTGCATAATTTCAAGTCATATTTCTCTTACTCTCTGCCTTGTTCTCCCATGAGATCTTATTTTATTCACTGCATAGACTTGCTTTTGAATGTGTACTGCAGAAGGTGGAAGAGCTGAGTGTATGTGATAGGACTGTATGAAAGTGTGCGGTCCCACACAGGGCTTTTAAAGTTGTGTTCTGGAGCATAGGGCTATTTCCTTGGGAAAATTTTGAGAAGTAGTAAAGTTGCCCAGGTCTATGTCTAATGCTGTCAAACATCATATTTTATTGTGCCTCTGTATAAATTTATGGCAGATTATAATAAAATTTTATATACCTCATATCCTGTATACTATACACACTGCCTGTCCTTCTGTTTCAGGAAGGACAGGGGTAACTGCAAAGGGTGGAGAGGATGGGCCAGCTGGCCAGAGAATGGCTTTTGTGTAAGAAGTGCTTGATCAGAGTAGGATTATTTGGTTTTGAGTAAAGGTGACTCAAGGAAGATACAACATAGGCATCAAAATCAGGGCTGACGTGACGGGTGAAGGTGACTGTTTACTGCCTTGTATAATTAAAAATCTAGATACCAAATAGAGTTATAAGGGTCAGGCTTAAATGGAATGATGTCTCTTCTACTCTGATGCATAACCAAGCCGTGGAACTCCTCGCTTCCTGGTGTTAAAAATTTAACACAAATTCAAAAGTAATACCGATGGACATTTGATGAACAGCTTTAAGTCTTAAGATTCCAAATATGACTCCAGAAGTTTCTGATTCAAAAGTCACTGAATATCTGGAGAAAATGGCTTATAAATGTTACAGTTTTTATATATAGCTAATATAGCTTTTAAGTGTTACATGTGTATTCTATTCCCATGTCCTTCCTTTACCATCCAGGTGATACTCGGCCATAGCCATAGGTAAGATGCTGGACCAGATGGATTTTTGGTGTCACATGTGGTGGCTGTTACCATGTACTAGTTGGTTACCGTGGTGTTTGCTTTTAAAAAGCAGAGAAAGGAGTCTGGTAATTCTGTGGTCAGAGAACTGACTGAACAATATATGGTATATTTAAAAGATAAAACCATGCATGAATGAGAAAACCCCCCAAATTTTAATAGCAGTTTTATAGAGACCCTTTTATTAGGTACGTCCAAGGGATGCAACCAGAATTTTGCAGAACTAAATGTAATGTGTAGGAGCTGAGGCTTTTTTCTCCTGAGTGGGGCAGCTGATGTTTTATGAATTGAAATTTAGAGTGCAGTGAATATTCTTGGTGGTTGTGGGTGGTGGCATTGTTTGTTGTGACCAGTGGACATCACATAGACTTAGTGTTGATTTGATCTTAAATTCCATGGGATACTATCTCTAAATACGTTGGGGAATTTTACAGTGTTTTACCAAAGCAGTCCCTTGTTGATAGCAGGTAAATATAAAATGACATCCCGTCATTTTGTGATGCTCTTCCACCTCTTTTTTGCCTCCCAAGCTGTGTTAGAACATCGTGGTTATTTCCTCAGTGGGAATTGAATGTATTGTGAAGTGCAGCCTGTGACTAATCTGCCTCTTGCTGTCTCTACTCATTAACTGGCTGATGGTGATGTGGTTGCACCACTTTCTACACATGGCCTCAAGGATATGGCATTGTGACACCCATAGTAAAATATGCAAGGCTTGATTTCAAAAGACATTTCGGGTTGGAAAGTTAGAGAGGTTATAAGCTAATATTGTGGCTGGTTTTGCCCTTTTATTTTAATGAATATTGGGTGGTAATAGAGTAAGGTGTACCTTTTTCATGTTTATACACTGATACACAGTTGATGCTCTAGAGGCAATTTATTTCAATTTGTCCTCCAGTTTTGTTGAATTAATGTTGTCTTACAGTTCAAGAAGTGTGTTTGGATTATGTCTTAGCAATTCTTTTTTTTACTGAAAGTGCATTTAAAGTTGGTTAAATACTGGTGTTTTACATGTTAGTTTGGTGCCTTAGTACCAGATAAATATTATGATGGCACACTGGCTTTTCAAGTTGCATGCACCTTTATCTTTCTAAACAATATAAGGACATGAAACAAGTGCTGGAATGGTAGTTGGTTATTGACAAATGTGTGAATTGCAGGTTACTGAAGAGAGAGTAACTGCGTGAATGTCTTAAGTACTCATTGGTGTATTGGTAGCTGTGCAACAGGACTGCTGCGAAAAGATTTCCTGTGGTCTTAATCCTTTTAAAATAACAATACTCCTTCTTCTCCCTCCTGTTTCTGAATGAAACTCCAAATATTGTCTTTCAAAATCAGATGTAATTTAGTTTAGGAACAGAAACTTGATGTTCTCATGCCTTTCTTTTGTTATCATGATGATCATTTTACACGAGAAAGGGGACCGGCAATGTGGTTTCTCTGTAAGGTTTCCAAAACTTTGTGGGTGAATTTTTGAAACCTTGAGTAACTCAAAGCCTGAAGCTTAGAGGGGTGAGCACCACCCACTTGGCAAAAAATTTTTACGGCATCCAGTTGCAAGTGTATGAAATTATAATTTTCAATCTGTAGTTTATAGGTAGAATCTAGCAAAATAGTTGGAATTGATTTAATTGGAACAAAGTGTGTAGTGTAACATTTGACTAGTGAAAATACTTGGTTCTTGGCTGAAATTACGCATGCATCTGGTTTATGGACAGACAAGTGTTATGTGGTGTAAATTAATTTTTTATTTTTATTTTCTTTTTTAGGCACTTATAAGAAGAAATAAGAACGTTTTCTCGAGCTGAAGACAGTAAAAGAAAACTGTATCATGTGTTAGAATACTGAAGAGTGACATTTGGATTAGTATATTTCTGGATTGCAAAGCAAAAGAAAGAAGAGGCCAAAAATGGGGAGAAAGAAAATACAGATCACCAGAATAATGGATGAACGGAACAGGCAGGTGAGAAACAAGGAGTTTATGAGCGAGTTCAGTATAATCCTAAAAATGAATGGAAACTTTGAATACATTCCTCCTAGTGCTCTTCTAAAGGCAAGCTTTGTCTTCATGTACCTACAGATGGCATTACCAGAATACAAATAAGAAATGTCTTAATTGTTTTACTGCTGCTTGAGGGGAAATTTGTTATTTATAACTCATATCAATTACTACTTTAAATTCACTGTAAATCTGCTGTTGCTATTTAAATAGTACCCTGGTCTGTACTTCCTTTAGACTGGAGGATTGTGTTGAAACAGACGCCTTGCTTGATCTGATAATGGTTTGTATAGTCATGAGTTTTGTTAACATGGTTCTGTTTAAAAGCATTGTTTTATACCTCTTGTAAGAGCTGTTTGCTATAACAGCCTTGAAGAATTGTCAGTCAAAAGGGTAGGGTATTCCAGTGTGTGCTGTTTTAGGGAAAGCCACTTATTTAGCTGCTCTTGCCCCGATAAAGAGGTGTCCTTGAACTTGGAAAAGTACCAAAGGTCGATGACTCTATAGAAGGAGAGTTTCCTCTTGACTTCTAAATTGCTGCATGAAATAGGAAGTAAAATTTTAATTGAATATTGAAAATGCACAGTGAGGAATCTGGAAGCTACCATTTGTAAGGAAAGTATTGGAGAATGACTTGGGACTCTAGGAATAGTCATTGTGGTTCAGACCAAAGGTGCTGCTAAGCGGTATCTTTTATCCAGTAATGGTCATAAGCACGTAAGTGTAGGATGGAGACACACATGTTACACTAATATTCTTCCAGCTTCTAACTATTCTTAGCTCAGGGATTTCCTGAGCTGGATGTGGTTTCCATATATTTAGCAACCGTTAATGGATATTTTTATTTTTGTTTTCCCCACCTCCTGCCAGTGAAGTTGTTCGGTTATCCCTGGAGCCCTTACAAAGCTGCAGCATTTATAGCATCTTTTGGCTAGGCTTTCCTATGGGCCTGTTACCTGTTGCTTCAAGAAGCACCTTTACATTTAGACTTTGTCATAGTTCTGCTAGTTATTCAGCTCTTGTATGGGAGAGACAGCAGTCACTCCCTATCTAGGCTTTCCATTGCTTGTTACTTTGTGGACCTCTGCAATGTTTCCTTATTTTTCTTTTAAACTAACTTCTTTCAGGCTGAAGCACCCTAAAACTTAGTTCTTTAAAAACAGAATTGATTGCACACCTTTGACCATTCTCTCTGCTTTCCCCTAATCCTTCTCAAATATCACTATGTTACTTTTGGTGGCAAGGAGACCCATAACAGTGCAGTGTTTGAGTTGCATGCAAAACATGGACTGAGTGGTTTACTGATGTTTGTTCTCTGTTCCCTTCCTAGTATTTGATTTACTTTTTTAGTTTTGTCTGAGCACCAACTTGATGTTGGGGTAGGGTCAGAATTCCATGAGACTGCCTTGCTGGTGACACAATCAGCTCAGAGCCCATTGCTTTGTTAGTGACATCAGGATTGTTTTTCTGCCTGTATCACTTTAAAAGCAATGTAAACTCTCAGAAGACTATATATAGCAAGAAAAGTATTATTGGAGTTTGGGAGAAAGCCAAGTATTGTGTTTTAACAGCTTTAATCACACAGCGACTGTATGTTTGATGTAGATAAATGTCTTAAGTACATGTAGTAAAAGTAGATGAGTTAATAACTTCAGTTCCTTCAGGTCTTGTTCTAGAAACTCAGACATGAGGAGATGGAAATTGATCCCTCTCCCCCTTTTTTTAACTTGGAGTAACTTGGACAAATTTTTGTTCTGCTTGAAATAGAAAAACTCTAACACTGTAACCTGGCTTTGGTGTGGTGGACTTGAGGGAGAGTTTTTCTTTTTGTGGATCTCCATCTCATTGTTCAGGCTACATCAGTAGAGAAGAGGAAAATTAATGCATTTGTATCAAATTTTAGCCCACTTATACCATTGCTATGACTGAAGCAAAATATGGGAATTAAATTTGAAGTTTTGCTTCTGGCTGTTCTTTGCTAGGACATTTTTGGGTTTTTTAGTGACTAGGAAAAGCCTTTAAGCTCTAATGGAACTAGGCTTGTGTCCTGGGTTCAGCTGCAGCAGTTCTTTTTCTCCTTAGCTGAACCCAGGACAGCTTGCCTTACCCTTTTTCTGTGGAAACTCAGAGATGATTACATACTGCATCTTGGCTTTAAAAGGTTTTAAAGAGATTAAATAGCTTAAATAGCTTTTGTTAGTGGAGCCATATTTCTTCTGTATAGAGGCGTTTATGGTGTTCTTTAACCCCACTGGCGTCCTGTGATTTTGGTAGCTGGTCTGTAGAGTTTTAATATACTAAAATGCCCTGATGCACTTAGTGTTAATTTACTTTGACCTTTTTTTTTCATTGACCCATGTAAGGAGGACATGTAGGGTTTGTTTTGCCAGAACAAAAGTGTAGTTCAGTTGTGTTCTGTCACTTTTTCTATGGCATACATAGCTGGTTAGTAGGTCACTCATGAACATGCATGTGATGTCCTTTTTCGATGTTTAACGTAAGGTGTTTATTTGTTTGAAAGCATAAGAATAGAATAGAGGTTTGCCTGTGGAGCAAGTTCATATGACTTACGTGGGAAGAAAAACTATTGTTTTATCAGAGGCATCTTATTTCTGACGGGATTGCATGCGACTCAAAACAGAATATATAGACCGTTACTCGGGGGGATTGCGATTGTCCCGAGACTGTCATTGTACTATTAATTAAGCAGTCTTATGTGCTTGAGTGAGCAGTAGGGCATTTATCTTCATTAAGCTGAAGAGAATAAACTGCAGTCTTGTTGCCTTTGCTCTCTCCTCCTCACCCATTTTTTGCTAAGCAGTGTTGTACTGGTGCTGAGGAAGCAGTTGGCCTGTAATAAAGATAACATCTTTTTTGTTTTTACTGTGATCTTAAATGGCACATTAAATGGCAAAAAGAAAAGAGAAATTTGCAGAAATATTTCTGCTTTCTGAGTTCTTAAATGAAAACTGAGTTTATAATAATCTATGGCTGTTAAAGTAAGGCTTGGACTCCAGAGGTAGTGGGGTTTGTGCTGAGCACTGTCCAAACACCAAGTGAGAAATTGATGCTGGCTGAGTATCTCACAAGTAAGAAAATCTCTCAAATAATATAGCCTTACAAGAGGCAAGAATGATTACTTTTCAGGGTCATATGGAACTACTGCCTTCAGTCTTTTTAGTGTCTTCTTAAAGTAATAACAGCACACACCCATCTTGTTTATGATGCCTTTTTTCCTGACAAATGGTAGTACCTGTCTGTACCTGTTCATACTCAGGTAATAATCTCTTACATGTCTTGTAATTTAAGTATATCAGAGCAACAACAACGGTGGTTTAAAAAAAACAGTGTTTCCCAAATCCGCAGAGGAGTCCAGGGAAAGTCATTCTTAATGTCCCATCCAAGAAAGGATAAACACCAGTGTTGTGGAAATAGGCACGTGTAAAGTGACAGAACTGCCAGGAGACTTCTTTTAAAAAGCAGCTGTATTGTGTTATAGGTGAATAGTAAAAGTTCCACCTGCATTTGGGAAAAGCACAGCCCAGTAAAACCTACATTTGTACTTTGTCAATTTGTTGAATTGATAACTGAAAATAAAACTCTTAACAGAAGTTGCATTAAGGTAAAATCTGTCAGATTTTGTGGCATCTTGTCTCACTAATGTATTGTAATGGTTAAACAATAAGTAAGTGAAAAGATCTGCTTACCCTAGTTGAGCCTTAATGTGTTACAGCACTTTACATAAAATTGTTTGAGGTAGTGCTCTATCTTAATGGAGCTTCTCACCAGACATGCTTTAAAAGGGTTGAATAAAAAAGTTACGGGAAGTACTTACCTTTCGTCTGAACATGGATTATTCAAGCATCACAAAAGCCTCTGTGATTAGTGGTCTTTAAACCCTAAGTCTCTAAGTTAGAAACACTGCACAGGAACTTAAATTAAACTGTGGTTATCATAATAAGCCCAGCATTCCATGTTCTCATCTTTCTGGGTCTTCTGTTCATTATCTCTGTTCCTGCTGTGGCTAAGTGTTAACAGTCCAGGGTTTCAAAAAGTGCAGGGACACTGGTATTTTGGGGGCAGGGGGCACATGTTTTTGATGGATGTGGATGCAGTTTTATGGCCAGAGGGGAATCTCAAGTCCACAGTACCTTTGCCGACACCTGTGGTAGAAGAGTAAAGTATGCATATATTGTTTTAATAGTACAGTCATTATCAGCATGCTGTTGTTAAAAGTATCTGTCTGCATCCCCCTGAGACTATTCATGTGGTGGGAAGTAGAGTATACGTTTTGAATTATGGATAGTATTAAAAAAGCAATATGCATGAGATACTCATCTCTGGAGAAAATGCCTTGAGGTGTGTATACACAGAATTTTCCCACCCGTCTTCCAAAAACTTGATGTACACCTTGGTAATTAACACGTGAAATAATAGAAACCCATAAAACAGGTTTGATGGTTTCTTGTGTTTTACTTCATTCCTATCTTGCAAAAGACTATTTTCTGCTAAACAAGTAGGGCATGTAGGTCATTCACCTGTGCAGAGGCATTTACTTCAAATTGTAGTGCAGGGGTGTGAATGTGGCCATAGACAGAGGTGTTTGATTCAGCTCTGAAGCTCAGGTTGAAAGTTTGAATCTGAAAATAACATCTTTATTAAAGATGTCTTGGAATATTAACTTCATGCTAGTAGATAAAGTGCCTTTTTGAGACACTTAAGAGGACATTTAGTAAAAATACTGTCTTTTAAGAAAAGTTGACCTTTAGCATCAATCCTGTTTGATTCAGTTTGCTATCAAATACAGTGATACTCTGATATCTTGAACTGAAATCCTGTGAAAGGAATAATTTTTAAAACCTTTCTTCTCATAATTGATAGTGATTTTTTTATAAGTGTCTTTTTCCCTCCTCCTATGGGCAGATGGTTCTCTGTGATGGTTTGTAATGGATTTATTTCTCTACAGCAGTTCTAATTGGACAGAATGATTGTTCCATGATGTTCCCAAGTGCAGAAAACAACTTCAAAATATAAATGAATCTGATTAGATGGCTTAATTGCTACAAAATAAGAATATTTCTTAGCTTTACATAATTAGAAATAGTATTACATAGTTACAGTGTTACTGCCATTGATATTGCTGTGTTCTTTGACTTTGAGTTAAAGTTGTGAGTAAGTTGTAGAGTAGTTATGGAATAACTCATCATTACAGAAGTAAATATTGTGATACCTTGAAAGTCGGTGTTGAACAGAAGGAAATGTTGTTAGAGGATCCTCAAATTTTAACTCTTCTTGGTAGTTATATTAGTGGAAGAGTTTGGGGGGGGTGTAATTGTTCAGCTTAGTCTAATACAGAGTATTGGTCCTCAAAGTGACACCAAAATATTACAGGTAGTTGTTGTGTTGAGCCTGTACACATGTTCAGTTGTGTTGCTTTTAGTAGGAATAAATAGGCTCCATTAGCATATTTCTTGAATGTTTGATTATAGTCCTGCAAACCCATCATGTGTTTAAAAGAATACTATTATCCTTTCTTTTCTAGGTTACCTTTACGAAGAGGAAGTTTGGATTAATGAAGAAGGCATATGAGTTGAGTGTACTCTGTGACTGTGAAATAGCACTCATCATTTTTAACAGCTCTAACAAACTCTTTCAGTATGCCAGCACTGATATGGACAAAGTTCTACTTAAATACACAGAATACAACGAGCCCCATGAAAGCCGAACCAACTCAGATATTGTTGAGGTAACAATATGAAAAGACACATCAGTTTTCTTATCTCCTTAGCATTTTAGAGTACTATAGAGTATTTTAAGATATTTTAACCAAATGTATTTAATAACTTGAAAACCTTGTCATAAAATGTCAACTGCTGCTTTTAGTCTGGTTTTCCTAAGGCAATAAGTTGTCTTTACAGCCATGTTGTTTTCCCATCTGCCCTCCGCCCCCTGCCAGTTTCTGGGAAACATGTTTGATTGCAACCACATTCGGCAATGGAAATAGAGGTGTGAAAGATGATTGTTTTTCTGGGAGAGGGGGAAGTGTTTGAGGTTTTCATGGAAAAAATCAGTTGGATGGAGAAAAAGGTCCAAAGAGCGCCCTCACTCTGACAATTATAGTTGGCTGCTTTTCTGAGCCAGTAGCCACTTCACCAATCAAATGCTGCACTCTGATCAAATCAGTCACTGCCTGTGCTGCTCCTTGTTCAGCCAAAAAGCTCGCCCCCCCCAAAGTAAATCTATGGAGCAAATGAACTTACTTGAATTTGTTGTCCAGTCACTCTGTATGTCAGTTAAAACAGCAGTAGAACAATCGCAGTTTCTGCAGTAGTAGAACAGCATGAATGTATTTACTCAAAGGTATTGGTTTTGTTGACTTCTATTATGCTGGTGCTTTAAATAGTAACTCTTTCCAGTACATAATTTCTAAATTAGGTGCAGTAGAAATCAAGGATTTTCTTGGCAGTTGGAGCCTTTCTGCACTGTAACTGCATTTCAGATAAGTCATGTCTCCAGTAGTCCTGTAAATAGACCAAAACAGGTGGCTGACTTCAGCTTTTGATTTAAATTCCAAAGTTGTCTTCTGAACAAATGCCTTGCTTTTTAGGAATGGTTTAGGAATAGTGATTAGCCTAGTATAGCTAAAGAGTTCATTGCCAAGGGGATCGCAGAACACAGGCAGGATAATAGCTGATCTTGTAAATTAGTTTTCAAGCAAAAATCAGATTGAAAGAAACCCGAGAAATAGACAAATGCCTTTTATTTCTTGCTGAGAAGATTCTCTGCTAATTTGTCAGCTGCCTTATGTCTTCAGTGTTGAGTACTAATAAGAGGGATAATACAAGCTATGAAGAGTTGAAGGAGTATTACCAGGATTAATATAAATAAGGGATAGCTACTGCAGAGTTAGGGAAAACCCAGTTCTTTCAAGATGAGCTTTTGATTGTGATGGACATGAATTTGAGATAGGGATGCAAGCAAGTCAAGTAGCCAGGCTGCTTTTTGTTCTGCATCTAAGGCCTCTTTGTGTTATGACCTGTGGTAACAGTGCTTCTTCACAACCTGAGGACTAAGAACCATAATCATTTCTACACAAGGCTGATGTAGGTTTTTTTCTTGGTGGCTTTTTTTACGCAAGTGTCAAGCATTTGCCCCCTGACAACTACATAAAAGGTGCAGTTAGTACCTAAGTGCATCTGTGGTTTCTCTTCTGGTGGAACATGCAAGGACCCATCTGCAGATGCTTTCCAGTTTTCCTCTGTAGGCTTACTGTATTACACTAGTGTGGGATTTGGGACTTTACTCTCACTTTTGAAGCATAATATAATCTAGGAGTGCATCTAGCTGTCTTTTCAGATTAGCCCTGTGGGCTCATTCGTCTCCTTAAGATGTTTTTGTGTGTTTTTGTTCTTTTTTTCTGAGAAGGAAGTAAAAAAAGTTCTTCAGCCAGAAAGGGGATTGTATACATTTTTGCAGGGAAAATATGTTCTTTAAGTTTATGGCTCTGTTCTGGGTGGGAAAATGAAATTGGTAGGATGAAATATTTACAAGCTCAATATATTTCAGATAAATCAATGTTTTCTCACTGTTGGCTTCTAGAAAAAAATTGTATTCAGTATTTCAGAGAGATATTCCACAGTTTCATTTTCTTTGCAACTGATTGCATTTAAGATTTGCTCCATCTGTATATTAGCTTTGTGATCTATTAGCTATTGTTCTCTATGGAATTGGAGAAATCATTCATGGTTGGGATCAGATGCTGTGTTTCCCAGTGTAAGTAAATAATGTCTGTAATTTAGAAAAGCACTCATTTTCAGTGGAAAATTATCTGCTACTCTTTTGCTTTACAACAGAACTGGTTCAGAGGAGAGTATGATCTGCTTTGGAGCAGATGCAGTGACAGGTTCAGCATAGGTAGGGAGGAGAGATGAGATGGGGGACTAAGACACCTGTATTTAAGCAGTAGCAAGTTGCCAAAAGCTCACTACATATTAATGTCACCGTTGAGGGATGCTTGTGTGTGGTAGAGGTGAAGTTACAGCACCAGCATTTTGGAAGTGTTCTGAAAAATGATGTAAAATGGCTGCTCTATCATGCCTACATAGAAACACTATTTTAACAAATAGAAATTACAAAAAATAGCTAAAAATCTGTCAAGTATGTATTAAACCAATTTGAATAAGTAATTTAGTTTTATGGAGTTACAGTTGAGGTATTTCTTAGTTAACATTTGAGTATTCACTTGCCTCCTTGAATATGACAAATGGTATTTATTGTGATGGAGGCTCACCATGCATTTAGTCTCGACCCACTGTGGTCCTGATATGCATGACAGGAAGGTCGTTTTGATTTGTGTTTTGCTATGTTAGAAGGAAAGCTAATTCTATACAGCTCAGAAGCTCTATAAGGGAAGAAACAAATCTACTGTTACTAATTTTCAGTACTGGGTGGATAGCAATGTTGTAAATGATTAAGTGAAATCGATGAGACATCTTCCCCTTATAGTTCCCTCCTGTTCAATTTTGGCATAGGAATTGCTTTCACATGCCCAGAGCTTGGTATCTTCTGTTGCTGCTGGAACGTTTGTGTGAAAACAAAGTAGGAGGGAGAGCATTGGCATCTTAAATGAATACAGGAATTTTTTGATACATGCCCTTATGTCTTTCACTGTACATGTTACTGTAGATATGAATGCTCTGTTGCTGTCCTATACCTCTTGGTTTCAATTTTTTTTGTCCCTTTTATGTGGGTTTTTTGTTGATCCCACTTAGAGTTTCTGTAAATATTTCCTTGTCCCTCCCTCCCTTATTTTTCCCCCCTTTCAATTTCTAAACAACTTACCTATCAATAGATTGTTGGCTTCTTTACCTATTTCTGGGAAGAAATTTTAAGCTTAGTTTTCTAGCTGTCAGTGGTATGCTTGAGAGTCGTCCCTTCCCTGCCATTTGATACTTTTAAGATAAAGGGAGAAGATCTTGTAACACGTGGCTTGTAACCACATTTAAAGGATGATTTGTGTGGCATTTTTGAGCTGGGATTCAACTTTTGAGATCTTTGACTCTTCTGCTGTTTGAATCTGTTTTACAGCACTGGGAAAAAAAGAGGTGAGTAGGGCAAACAGGATTATTTGAAACACTTAAAATGTTCAGAACATAAACAGGCCTGTGAGAAAATGCCCTTTCTTATCAGGATCAGACACAACTGACCTAATGGGGTTTTCTTGATTAATTTCTGCATCCCTCTGAAATATGGAGGGTGAACACAGGTGGTGTTGGTGAGGACAGTGAAACTTTGCTTGTGATTGCTGATCTGACCTTCTAGCAAAAGGTATTTACTCAGGAGGTGGAGAGTGTAATTTTCCTTCAAGCCTCACGAAAGGAAAAATGTTTGTCTTCTGTTGAAATTAAAAAGTAACCTTTTACATATGATTTCAGGAACAAAAAATTTAATTAAAAATGCTTTGATGCTTTTTGCTCTTGGAGAATACGGTCCTTTTCACATCAAGTGAATTAGTCTTATAAGACTAATGAAAATTATTAGTTATTTGAGGGAGAAAGCCAGCTCTTTTGCACAGGGATGTTGAAAAAACTGAGATTCACATCAAGTGTGTGCTTTGAATTCTTGAAATGCTAGGATCCTGTATTTGGTTTAACAAAGCCATACAGGCACAGCTGAAGTTTGATACACTGAAGTGCTGTCTGTGATTTGAAGGACTTGCCGTAGGTGTTGCAGCATTTGATGCTTTAATGCTTGTGGATTTTTTTTCTGTAACACATTATTCTTGGCAAGTGATTATTTTTCCTGAAGAAAAAAGCAGAGTACTTCTGTAGAGTAAAATGGGAGGAATGTCAGGTTTTATCAGGATTCTGTATCCATATGGTCAACAAAATGTTTTAATGTATAAAAGACAGTTTGAGACTGTGAGCGTTCATTCTTCCTTCATCCAAAGGAAAAAAGGGAAATGAGTAGGCACTTGTACTCAACCCTCTTTAGCATAGGGCGTGTTAAGATTATTATAGGTTATCTACAGGGTAGCACTTCCATGGTGGGTCCTTCTGTCCCTGAGAGGGCCTCCAAAAGCAGCAGTTGTTCACTTGTTCCCTCTCTTTCAGCCTCACTTTTTCTGGGAATGGAGGGTTGAAGACAGGCTCTTCTTGCCTGTTTAGCTCAACTTCCTACCTCTTTTCTCTGTTTTGATGTTCCTTGAGTGATACAGCAAGCCAGGGTTTATTTCAGCTACACTTGGCCCTGGGTGGGTTGTGCATGTTCTATCATATCACCTCATTAAACTGAAGTGATTTGATTTTTAGGAGCCTGTCTAAAATGTGACCTACTTTGCTGGTTGACATCTGTGCCCATGAGAATTTCTGATAGGTGTCAGTTAATAAGCCTCTTCTGCAGTGTATAGTTTAATGCTATCTTCAGCATAGTATAATGTGCTGTATAAGGCTTAGGTTATACCCCAGATACTGACAGCTGTCCTTGAAATATGCAATAATCCGTAATGAAAACAGTAACTAAAAAGTGTAAAAAATCAATCCTAAACTATTTCAAGTAACTACTGTAAACATATTCTTGTAAAAAGCTGATGTATTGCAATAGTCATAATTGTTTCTTGATGTAAGCTACAGCAAGTGATTTGGATGTTTGTATTAAATCTCTTTAACATGGGGAATGGTGACTCTAATAGGAAGTAACATTTGTCATGGCTTAGTGTGATAATGGTCATGTCATGGTTTTGACAGG